AGATGGGTGGCGTATTTACGTTGTAGATGTCCATGGGCTCCAGTAACCACTTAACACCAGGTGGGCTGTGAGCTCGTCCACCCATCTAAGCAATAAAAAAAAAATATACGTGATAAAAAGTATCCTATGTCCTTTTTCTGATCCTAACCTACCTCCCCACCAATTTTCAGCCCTGACTTCTAAGCTTACAAATATCTCCGAAAAGATAATGCTCCATCACAGTTGAAAGTCTAGCGGGGATAGAATAGACTTAATACAAATCATTCGAGATTCCCGATATATGTACGTAAATGTATTGTGGTGTGTTCAGTTGATGGTCTGTCTTTTTTCCAAGTTATTTGTTGGATTGGGCGACGCAAAAAATGCGTCCAGCATTGGTTAATAAAAAAAGAACTGATTGGTTTTCTACAATATTGAGTCACCGCTCTCCCTCCATAAACGTTTACTGTATAAGGTTCTATAACCTGACTCCTGAGGATGTATAGCAGCATCCCCTGCTCGTGCCTGCGGGTTCCAGTGAGACTTGAACTCATCAACACAACTAAAGCAATTATCGATGTGTAGTTTACGAGTCATGCCTACTATTAAAAAGAATTACGTGCAATACACATTCTAAAGATATTGTTCCTTTTTTTCTACATAATAATATTTACCTTTGAGGTAAACTTTTGTTATTGCGTATGTACGTAACAAGAAACGTGTCTATTGTCATTGTAATTATTCTCTTAGTTTGTTTTGTTTTTCAGTCAATATCTAATTAATAGGCAGACGCACTCGAACGTGATACCGCGCGTCCTTCGACACGAGTACACGGCGGCGCGGCGGCTCGGCCATCAGACCACGCTCCCATTAATAGACTAAATTATTCTTGACTTTAAATGTTATTTTTGCTAGTACTATTTCCTACTTAGATTTCATGTCAGGAATAGTTTCCTTTCCATCTCTTTCTCATTATCGCCTTGAACTGTTCATACAGTAACATAAGAATACCACTCGCGTCCAGACAGTGATGGTCGTGAAGACATAACGAGACAAGATGGTTCGTTTTGTAAGTGGGACGACTTCAATTTCTTCATGGGCTGTGTGCGCGATCGTGCAGTGTTTCGTAATAGATATATACATATTGCTAAAGATATCGAATAGATAGTTCTTCTTCTTCCTAGTCGGATACTCTTGGCAGATTAGTTGTGGCTGTCGATTGACAGGGTTGGGTCTCGTCGTAGCCGCTCGCTTCCAAGGCGATGTTCCTCTATTGGAGGCGGCTATAGATAAATATGATTGTATAAATCCATTACCTTGATCTGAAATAATAATACTATTGCAGTTGTCGCTCATGGCGCGGCGGTACGCGTGCCTTATCGACCGGTACGTAACACTCTGTCTTCTGTCTTCTGTAAGTCATACGCCAGATTTCATGTCAGTGCTGGCGACAGGTACAACAGCATGAGCCACATTTAAATCAATAATTGGTTAACTGGGCATTAGTATGGACTAAATATAGGAAATATGGTGACGTGATTAAACTGAGCTGTAAACCTATAACTTCCATAAGCATAGTAATATAATTGAAGTTATACTGCCAATAGCATGTAATATGTACACCGTAAGCTATTGACGCCTATACCCATAATCATACTAACAAATGACGGCAGTAGTTTAGAACAAACAGTAAAAGCGGATCGCGTGACAAATGCGCTCAATCGATTCGTCATGAGTTTTTGTTTAACCTCGAGACCAAGTCACGGTGATCACAGGCAGCCACACAACTGCGTCTAGGCCAGCTGCTTGCAATCTCATAAACAATCTCATATCTCACTCTAAATACTTCTAGAACATGTTATTTGGGTCCAAATACACGGCCCCCCATTTTTCTTGACAGACTTCATTTTGATTTTCAATAAGAATGTTCAATGACATCCAAATTGAAATAAAAGTTTTTAAATTTTTTGTTGTTTATGAATATCCTAGTTCCCTTAAACTATACACTGAAACAGTGAACAACGCGACTTAATGATTTTGTTGAAGAGGACTATTATCAAGATGGTCTCACCAATACCATTTGCACCACGGGATTTGACCAGGTTAGATCCGTTCCAAGTATAGAACAGGAAAGGGATAGGCACTAAAATAAAAGATTTTTATTGTATAAATAAGGTGAAAGAACTGTTAGCCCATGGCCCACCAGGTTTTCAGGGGTTTAACGGATCCCACAAACACCAGAACGTACATTCCGCCGCCCACCTTAAGATATGAGACCGAAATCTCAGCTGCAACTGTTACAGTCTGTCTCGGTGACAGTCATGACTAATTGTAGTGCCCGCATTCCTCATTTCAGACTAAATTGACACGTAAAAAAGACAGGCTATGTCACTGGACAACGGCTATGCCAGCGAACGAGCAAATAATAACGTTAGAGGAAGATTTGTATATATGATAGATGTAGACATGCATTATTTGCTAGATAAAAACAAGACAAACTCGCCCATGCTTGTGTTTATGATTTAAGCTATTTAGTCCTCGCTGCGAAGTCAGCGTGAAACGTTAGTAGGAAATATAATATCCCGAGCGGATAGCAATTTGACTAATTCATCCCCCGAGATGTAATCTCTATTGTTCTAGAGCATCGCACGGGACTACGTGACCGGGGGACAGTAGACCGGCTATTTTTGTAACTGATCCAACGGGAAGTAACGAAGGCGACTTCTTCGGAATTCTAATTAGTTCAAAACGAATGATTAACTATCGTTCAATGTGGGTGATATTTTTAGAAACTAAACTTATTGTTTTTTATTTCCTTGACGTTGGATTTCTTGCAGCACTCTATCTTTTATGCGGTTTTATTTAGATTGACCTATCGACCTTTGTCAACTGTCAATAACACTGGCTCAAATCAAAGAATTAGCTTGAGTTCATGGTGGATTTCTTTTCTTAATTGTATAGATGGTCGAACGAACTCATGACCCACCTCGAGATGCGTTTCCACAGTCAGGACACGAGACTGCACCCACTACTGATCAGTAGTCTCGCAGACTATAGATAGTCATAGCTCTGACTACACTCATGCACTTACATTACGAAGACGTGCTTTTTTTTATTGCTTAGATAGGTGGACGAGCTCACAGCCCAGCTGGTGTTCAGTGGTTACTGGAGCCCACATACATCTACAACACAAATGCGCCACCCACCTTGAGATATAAGCTCTAAAGTCTCAAGTATAGTTACAACTGCTGCCCCACCCTTCAAACCGAAACGCATTACTGCTTCACGGCAGAAATAGGCAGAATGGTGGTACCTACCCGCGCGGACTCACAAGAGGTCCTAAATTCAGTTAGTCAGTAAATAGTCAGTAAATTAATTTATTAAAGCACTTGCGCGCCCTACAGACGTTAAAATTAAAATTACCGAGAGAATAAAATACAATTGCAACGTCTCCCACAGGATCTGATCAGTCGGGTTATTTCAGAGGAGAAGTACTGTACCAAGACAAACTAGTTATCTGTATGTATAGATACAATTGTAGAAGTGTGCGCGCATTATGGAAGAACTATCTAACTAACATCACGTACCAACATCTTCCTTATTCCGAAGCGAAGCAGTCATATAGTTATACTGTGAAATTTGGACTTCATAAAGAAAATCCCCAAAACTCACAACAGAACTATGGACTTCGGTAATAAATATTAAAGCAAATTCAAACATTGCTTCATCGCGCGTAAAACCAGGTAATTTACTTAGACCAAAGCAAATTGTTAAAACTGTCATAAAACGAAACAAACAAACATAAATACAAGTTAATTACATTTCAAATGTATCGGAAACAAATATTGGAGTGGAGTATGTACCTACGCACCCGCACGAGCCGCGACGGGGTAAAGTACAATCTATTTATGGCGACTAATTATTAACTTTATTAATATGAAAGTCGAATCAGCAGAAATTATTAAATTTCTTTTTTAAAGACTACAACTACCAGTGTTGCTATCTCCGTACCGAGACATCGTTTGCCCACGATATTTTACATTTCCACACGTAGATTATTATTGTAAATAAGCATTAATACTCCGAAGCTTTTAATTTTCTTGCAATTACTTAAAACGATCATACGTACGAAATGAGACGAAGCCTACAGGAGAGTGAGCTCATTGCGCTATAATGTAGAGACACGAACAAACACAACCAGGGTATTCAATAAGCATATAAGGGTGTTCATTCAAGGGTATTTAATAAACAATAGCCATCATACTTATGGATAAATCGTTTCAGGAAGCAACTCCTAGAACTTTACAATTTTGGAAGAGCAGATTTCAAATGAGTATAAGCGTACGGCTGGTATTGACAGTGCCCATGAGTGCCGGCCAGCCCTTGACAGAAGCTCGTCTCGTAAGGTCGTCTGTCTTTCATATAACGAACCTCGATATTGTAATATTAAGATATTTTCACTAAAACCAAATTCTGTTAAATGCCATTTAAAAGAAACACGTGCGAAGCTTCGTCACGTTCCATTCCGGTACGAAATTCAAAAGGTTATAACCCGTGATCTCTCGTCTAAAAATTTACAAGAAATAATGACCAAAACTTTAAGGAAAATAAAGTCCAATACAACTTCCCCAAAATAAAAACGAAACGATAATTTATTTTTTAGAACACGTTGATCCTTCGAACCCTATACGACGTCACTCACCTCTCACGTACCCACGTGGAAACATTAAGAAGGAGTTGTACAGGCTTACTTTCCCATATCTTAGTTTGGATTCCAAGCAAGCGAATAATGAAGCGCAAAGCAAACATAATTATACAATCTGTATAAACAGTCCATAATACGTCATTATTTACGAATAAGTGTCCTAAAAATATTACTGAGAACCGCTAAACACACATACACAATATAATCACGTAACTCGAGGTGATTCCTGCAGTATTTTCATAGAATGCGTTCGTTATCTGAGGCGCCGCGGGCTCGGTGGTGGGGATGCGATTTCCACGTTTTATATACACGTTCGAGTCCCGCCGTCGTTCACACGTATAGTATACGCGATCGCGTACGGACGTATTGAATAGAATGTGTAATATGTGTACTCGCGACGTAACGCTGGAGGCTCCTCCGCCACCGAAAGTGTCACGTACTTTAGAGCGAATGAAGTTGAAACATAATATCATCACAGACCCTGTCAACGAGGAGAAGCAGAGAGAGGTGGAGTACCAGCCGGACCTCCTGGCCGTATCCACTCAGTACACGAAAATTGCTTACGATGTCTTCAAACAGGCTGTCGTGAGACTACAAGAGTCGAAGGCATACGTGTGAGTATCTTTCCTTTTGTCGAACGCAACCAAACCGCGACTGTGCACAATCGATTGAATTGCAATCAGTTTTATAATTTCCACGTGAAGTTTTATATGCTTACTTTCTTTAACATTTGTTTGCTTTAATAATATTTGCCGCAATGTACTACAAGTAAGGTTACCACACACCGCAGCAATGGAGAAACGAACGTGTGCAATTATATGCGGTTTTCATCGGACATAAGTCAATTTCATCAAAACAATGAGAATAACGAGAAAACGCGCTCATAATATATTCATCACTAGGTTTTATTCTTACGCAGATGAAAAATTCTAATCTGATAAATAAAACTTTAGTGATGATCAACCGATACAATGCGCCAGGACCAATGCAGACACTGCCTTCCAACTACTTCTAATCATATTATTTGTACATTTGAACCTAATGACAACAATTCAATGATTTTGGACCAGGACCTTTGTTAAGTTTTTGTAAGAAGTAAGAAAAGTGTGCTCATACAGACTCAAAATATTTAAAAAGCTTCATGTTCATGTCATACGAAAAGAGACAGTCAAACGAGAAAACAAACAGGTTAATGTAATGACCTCACGTGTCTGTACGCACCGCCAACTACTTATATGGCATTTCCAAGTAAGAAAAAAAAAGTAATAATATGTAAAAAGCTTTTAGGTTAAAAAATGTACCACAATTTGTATTAACCGATGAAAGCACAATCACACAAATACACAATTAATTTTTTATTCAAAACCGGTATTTAAATTGAGAAACTTAATATAAATTCAAAAAACCTAGAGTTTTTTTTATTATTTCTCTGCATGTTGCCACGACATGATCCGATACTTAACTATAATATATTAAAGTTTAAGTTTCCTGTTCGTCTAGAAGTGTAGAGTTTATACAAATTCAAAAATACCGATGGATTTCACAGCTATCGTAAACATTTTACGTAATATACAAAACCAAACAAATAATTAAAAAAGAAAGTTTTCTGGGAACCTGGATTAACTTTTTTAAGACCTAATATCTGTGAAGAATCAGTACGCCGTTTGCCTCCCTTTTTTGCCCAGTTAGTTGTATCGAGCCCAATCATTACTATTTCACTGTTTTCAGAATTTTAAGGTACTGCAAAAATATACAAAGTAGGACTAACTAGTAGAACAGCCTCCCAAAGGCTATAAAATTAGATGCAAGGGTGTGACGATATCATTATATGATTAGTGATTCAACAACTAAATATTTGTATTGTGCTCATTTTTCCAATTCCTGTTTCTTATCAAACTCTCCCCGGTACAGTCGCGGGTGGTTCGCCCATCACACGTTTAATTAACAAAATCTATTAATTTCTGAAAGATTGTGAATAGTGATTTGTGAACACACTTTTCGTTACGCACAACCCTTTATCACTTATTAAGCGTTTAGCGTATTTCATTAAAGCTGATTTATTTTGGTTCACAACACCAACGGTTGGACAAGTTCTGTCAAGCGTCTTTTTTTTTTTTTTTTTTATTGCTTAGATGGATGGACGAGCTCACAGCCCACCTGGTGTTAAGTGGTTACTGGAGCCCATAGACATCTACAACGTAAATGCGCCACCCACCTCGAGATATAAGTTCTAAGGTCTCAGTATAGTTACAACGGCTACCCCACCCTTCGAACCGAAACGCATTACTGCTTCACGGCGGAAATANAGTTCTGTCAAGCGTCTTTTTACAAGGTTGATATCCAAGTCTCACCTACAACTAACGGACTTATGATATAGCTTTATGATATAGGTAGGATAATTTAATGTTCATTCATCACCGGTCGACTAAATAATCTAAGATTCCAGCCTAGTAATCTAAGACTAGTATAGTAACTAGCAGTATACTGCGAGAGCGTATTTTAGCTGCAACAATCATATTAATTTCTTCTTCAATTCTACAACTAAGATTAGGTTCCCACTTGATCACCGGCATACATATGATTGATTAAAGTAGATGGGTTCCGCGCTCGGGGTCTCACTCGGAGAAAACATACATTGTAAAAAAAAGCTCTCCTACTTTAGATACCGAACACCTGCAGATGCACAATATACCCTACTGTCAGTCGAGTTAGAAAGTCCTGTCTACTCGTACTCCAACTGGAAACTTATCGGCTCGTAGCAGCACCGAGTGGCCTTTAGTTTCTTTCGTTTTATTCGTGCTGTTAATCAAACCGTTAATAATTGTAATAATTGTTCACAATTGTACACATAATAATTGCGTCAAACTTTTTAGTTCAGCTAGTTTAGTTAGTACCAGCTGACGTTCTTATGTTGTTAGCACAAGTGGACAAATGCACTAACAGTCCAATGGGTGACCCAATCTGTCGATGTGGCTGTCAGCCATTAGCAGTTCTCAGACACTCAACTTTTCTAAAATGTACACAACTTGATACATCTCGAAGTCTCAATTACTTTGGGGTCAAGAGTATCCCACGCCGTGTAATGGAACGCCATTACTTTGCGGCAAGAATATATGTGTGGGTTGTACCAACCCGCGCAGACTGACAAAACTACACTTTGAGACGTAGGCTCAAGACCGTAATATTATTATATTATTTCTGAAAAGACTAAATCTAGATTATCTATGTCAAGCCGTGACGAGGTCAGCTGTCTGCACGTCACGGTTTTATCTGTGACCTCGGCTACCAATCGCCCGACGAAAGTAAATCCGGATGGAAGTCGGCGGGAACGTTGGTTTAATGCCGGACATGGATTAGAACTGTTTTATTTTATACTTAAAGAAAATTTCCTTTTCTTACCCTTGTTACATACAAAGCAGGGTCGGCGCGGTTAATCCTCTTATCATGATGCATGGGAATTTGGTAACTATTACGACCATGGGGCTACCTGACGTCAACCTTCCTTAGGCTGTATGTCCACATAATAATATCCATTGCAACATGCCATAAGCACTGACTTCTTCGTTTGGTATTTCTTATAAAAGAATAAACTGCCAATAATAAATTTGAATCATAATCTGCTATTGAGGAGTGATAGATATTCCATTAAAATTGTGTTATCGGTAAAGTGATATGTTAATTAATATTATTAACATCGATGGTCTAAAACAGAAGAGAACTAACTCAATAAACCATTACAAGCATTATAAATTACAAGCGTTACATGTAATCGTGATTTTTTTTTGCCGAATCCCAAACATGTGCCCTATTTATGAAAAGTAACGTGTAATCAGACACCAACGGTACAATATCACTTAGATAGCAATATGTAAAGCTCGCTTACTGTATACGATATAGAATTCAAATTATCCTTCTTCATTACAATAGCTTCATCGAAGACATCCCAAAAAATAGCGATCCACAACCTGTCCGCCATCGCAACGTATCTAATATAAAGCGAGAATTTTAGCAATTTATTATCTAGAACATCGATATGACCTATTTAATGCCCACATTCGTATATATTAACACATCGCTGTTAATTAAAACAAATTGCCTATAACATTCGGGTGTGAAGACGCATCAATTTTAATTATTGCATATGAAGGGGGTCGCCCCAAACAATTTATATTAATTCCGGGGGACCCGTGGAGTTCTTAACAAAAGGTTTCAATTTGATCGAAACTATGATTGGTGTTACATTATATATACGAAGGAATTCATTATATTAGTAGCCTCTTTAAACGTAATTAGACGCTATTACATAACGTTACTTAAAAGAACAGTCGATCAGAGGAGTTTTAAAGGAATAGATAATCAAATTGTGTATCTCACTGTGTCATTGCAACTATGTACAGGCTAGGATGATGTGACCAGGGTGCAAGCAGGGTGGGACTAATGACACTTCGACCTCATATGTCTCAATGTGGGTGGCGACAATCGCATCGTAACGTCTATAGACTTCAGAACCCACTTAACACTACATAGGCCATGCTAATATAGATGCTAAACCAAAAAAATAATAATACTGTTTTCGACGCGCTTTTCTTCGAAGCAATTGCCGTGTAAGCTTCTTAGGCTATGTACTTTCTTTTTCCTAAGAAGTTAAGGTACGTTGGGTCGAGACACGACAGACACATTGATCGTTAAATTGTGACTATATCTTTTGTAGCAAATGTAAAACTATCACAACATAGTGACAAATTGTTTCTCTCTTTATAATTACAATACCTACCATTAAATACATTTTAATTGACGTTACATTGTATTCACGTATGTACATTTATCTAAATACGTGTTGTAACTTACCGCAGATAAGTTGTCGCCACTCTGACGTGTGCTATTTCAATCAACTTCTAAGTTAGAAGACAGACAATGCAACGACATGAACTTATCTTAATAACATTATTTACAGTTTCCTTTATTCGTATTAGTACTGATAGACTTCTGGTTCGGCGGCAACACGAACGCCTCTCAATCAACAGGGAGCAGTTTTCAAATGGAGCGCGCATCCTGTTTGTATCTAATGTAAAGTGCATCGTCATCTGTTATTTGTGCCTAATAGCGCGCGCTGAGAAAGACATGCGGGTGTCGAAACATTTGAAAAATAACTTTAATTGTATTGCCGATCTATCAGATCGGATTAAAAACATCTTTGTATTAGTCGACATCCATATTATATATTGCCGTTCCCTCCTCCCGAACTAGTCTTCTGTGAAAACAATTTCTATAAAACATTAAGGAAAGTTTTGGCTACATCTGTATGTTTTACTATTGTTTCACGGACGTAGAGCGTTTCGATTAGAAAAATGCGAAATAAATAAGTAATTTTCGTGTATTTAGAATGACTTTTATTACTTGTAATATAAAAAAACAAAAGCATATGTCGCCGGTGGAGAAAGATCAAACACCAAACTATCTATAAATTAAAAAAGCACCGTGACAACGAGGCCGACCATCACAGAGTGACTCTTAAACCCGATTCAACTACAAATCTCTGTTTATAACAACCAAAGTGACCTAATTGAGTTATCTTCACGTGATTGTCTCACATTTTCGCACATCCTAAAGACTT